ATTTATTCCTTGGAAATTTTGGATGAACATCTGATAGTTATGAGCACTGAGATACCTGACCTTTCAAAATACTACATTTTTCATTTATTGTTGAGAATATGGGATGAACTTTGACAAAGTGATATCAATTCTAGAATTTATCTGTGGTAGAGATGCCTATTGCCCCCACACATCCACCTCTTTCCTTCTGGACAAATGAGAGACCTATCATTTTACATCCCTTGGCAGTTAGATTCCTATAACTAATTCTGGCCAAAGGGTTGGGAGCAAAAGTGATAGGTATCATTTACATTTACACACTGAAGCATTTAGTTACTGCTGTGATTCTTCAGTCTTTCTTCTCTTGCTGTGGTGATCATGGAGTTAGCCACTAGCAACAGAACAAAAGTTCAAAGTAACATAAACACTGTGTCACTGCTTGGAGGATTGTTCCTTAGGAGATTCCTTGAAACCACAGCAGACTTTGTGGATGAGAAATAAGCCGGTTGAATCACCGAGGAGTTGATATTGTAGCACAACATACTTCACAAAAACACTCACCCATGCTCTCCAAAATATATGTACAAGGATATTGATTGCAACATGGATATCATAAAAAAAACTGGGGAAAAACTAGTATCATAAATAGGAAACAGATTAAATAAATTATAGTATATCTCTATATGTGTATAGAAGAATACACAATACATTTTTGACAATAGTAATTTGTGATGAGTCAGGATTTGTGTCAAGGTGGAGTGAGACTCATTTTACACAATATTTTCATTTTTTGAACTGTGTAATGTGCTATGTTATTTCTATAATGATTCTTTTTTAAAAGTTTATATTGACAGCCTGCTATGTATCTGACATTTTCAAACCTTAAAGCTTTAGATGTTAGAAAACTCTTTTGGCTAAACATTGTATATTTATAAATGTCTGACTAAATTACTCAATAATCTCATTAGAAATTAGCAAATTGAAATTAAAAATAAAACATTAAATTTGAAAATTCAAAACAGTATTCAAAACTAAAAGAAAATTCCATTTTTTATAAAGTTCATTCATTTACTTAACACCTGACATATTAAGTGTACCTCTTCAAAAGAGCTTAAATCTGAAAATTATTACCTTTTTTGAGCCTGGAAAACTAACATACATGATGCACAAATTGCTTAGTACTTTCATAATTCTCTCAGTGAGGAAAATGGAGTTAAAGAACATTTGACAGGTTTTGAAAGAGTGGCCTTCAGGGGCAGTACCCTGTTTATATTCATTTGTGAGGCTCCTAGTAATAAAAGCTTCCCTTAAAATACTACCAATTGTTTAACAAGGGAATCATCACTGAAATGCACACATCCTTAAGTTAAAATAACTTTTTGTAACTATTCTTGAAGCATTATGTTCATTTTACACAGCTTTTATTGGATCCTAATTTCAAAGAAACTTAAACATAAAAAAGCCCCAATTTACAGACTCAAAGCACTCATCTCTAAGCTTTTAAAGTGCTTTTTATTGGACAACAAAAACATGCTAAGATGTGATTCCCCATGGTAAGTTACTGACCCAACAATGTCTCTGTTCTCTCATAAATTACCTATGAGTAATTTATTATTGTTTGCGTGTAACACCCAACCATATTTTATTTAAAAATTTTCCTAAGTGCCAAGCACAGTGCTTGGCTTGAAAACATGATTGTGCTAGGCCTCTGCCATTGAAACTAACTTCCTGCCTATGTGTTAATCTGGTCTCTAATGCTTTCTGTCTGTCTGTCCTATACAGACATACACAAATTCATGCACACAAATAAACACACTCAGACTCTTGCCTAAAAGACTGCACACCCACTCCACCCCCACTAGAGCTTTTTACTAGTTTTTGCTGAAGTTCTTTCTTGCATCATTAATTTTCAGCGTTATAATAGTTGTGCACAAGTAGAGTACTTGGATGCCATTCAGGAGAGGCATGGTTTCCCGTCACATTGCATATTAGTTTATCATTCTGTTCCTCAATCTAGATGATGGGTTGCTTATAGGAGGATAAATGGCTCATAGAGTTCTCAGTGAACAAATAGCCCAACTATCTGTGGAAGACGTTGTTGCAGGTGTTGGCAGGGGGGAGATTTCAACTAATCCTGCCTTCTTGTGATCAGCAAGGTACCTCTGGAATGAGTAAAACTGATTATGATGAGTTTTCAGGAAGTGTATGTCTTCTCTCTTTTTTTAAAGTCAGCTTCTGTTCATTTTATGTGGCCAATATTTACATTATCAGCCTCTTCTGTCCATTTATATTGATTATCCCAATTATCAAAAGTCAAGGGTGAGGGTATGGATAATAAGTTGAATACTATTACCTGATATGATGAATTATACTGACTAGTTCTCATCAAAACGTTCATATTTCTCTTATTTTTGCCTCATCTGTTTTGCTGTTAGCCATGATTTGGAAGCAGAAGACAGAAAGATGCAACTCTGAGAGCAACAAGGAACATTTGAGAATTATGCAAAAACGTCATCCAAAAGTTTTACCAGGGATTTGAGTTAAAAACAGAGTGAAATTCTAGCCTGGGATGCTGACTGAATTTTAATGATATCATTTGGTTCCTAACTTATGTCTCAGGCAGTCAAGTTTAGAAAAATGTAAAATATCTTGGGAACTGAAGATGACAAAGTTTGACAACACCTGTCTTCTCACTTCATTCTGAACGTTTGTCAGCTTTACCTGCACGTGGCATCTTTTTGTCATCAGCTCATAGTAGCTAGGGTTTCTAGTTCCAGTTGCATGAAGTTTTGCTCAAATTAGTCTTTTCATTAGAAGAAATCACTGGTGAAGTAGGGTAATCCAAAATGCATAAATAAGCACCACTGAAGTTCAGGTCTCCGGTGTAATAAAATTTAAAATTAGCTCAAATGTAAAAACAAAACCACAACTTTTTATTTACTATTATGAGAGTATAAACTATGGACACTGAGAAACAAACTGAGGGTTCTAGAAGGGAGTGGGTGAGGGGAGGGTTAGTCTGGTGATGGGTATTAAAGAGGGCATGTATTGAATGGAGCACTGGGTGTTACACGCAAACAATGAATCATGGAACACTACATCAAAAACTAATGATGTATGGTGATTAACATAACATAATAAAATAAAAAATTCACAGTAAAAAAAAAAGAATCCCTGATATCTTTTGAGTTAATAGAGTTAAAAAATATTTTAAATAGACATGCCAGCATTAAACTAAGATAAGTGTAAGCCTTCATAAAGCTCCCTTTGAGAGGTGTATACTCATTCTATCAGTGCTGCTTTTCCTAAACCCATCTGAGAGATATCCTTGGAGTTTATCTTTAAAATATAATTACAGGGGCGCTTGGGTGGCTCAGTTGGTTAAGCGTCTGCCTTCGGGTCAGGGTCTTGGGATCGAGCTGCATGTCAGGCTCCCTGCTCAGTGGGGAGTCTGCTTTTCCCTCTGCCCCTACCCCCTGCTTGTGTACTCTCACTCTCTCAAATAAATAAAATCTTTAAAAAAATAAAATTAAAATTAAATTATAAATTGTATAAGAATATTAGACTAATTTATCTGGGTTCCTATTTTTGTCAGGCTCAAAAGAAATCCATCTCCGCTTATACTGGTATGCATGTGCCATGCACCAATCTCAAGTGTAGGGGATATAAAAACAAAATTGTCCACTGATGAACATTCTGGATGTTATTGTTCTCATCATAAATAATGCTGCAATAAAATTTACATGCTATTGGCAGACATGGATATTAATTAACTAAAAAAATAGGCCCCAAGCTTCCTTTGAGATAAATGCTTTAAAGGACAGAACATAGTGATAATGAAGATGTGTAACAGGTGGGCCTAATTTAGAATGAAGAAAGTGATATTTTATCTGCGATATAGAAGATAAGTTTGTAATGTTGGAGGATATTGGAGTTAAACAAATTGCACTGGAAGGTAAATCATGTAAAAAGTGTCTAAACCTTGAAAAGAAATGTATGTACAAGGAACTAAAATGTGTCCTGGGGCTACCTTGTGAGCCACATGAGGGTAGTGGTTTTTTTCCTAAAAGCAGTTATGTTCCACTGAAGTATGTTAAGACAGGAATGACATGTAAATGACAAGGAGAAAACAAAAGCTTACTGACTTGGTAGGCTTGACCCCACCTGACAATGGTTTTATTTCTATACTTCCATATCTCTTCCTCATTGAGAAGAAATTTCACCCGCTTCTGTGGGTATTGGTCCAAAATTTCAGTAGGTTGAATCTTGGTAGGAAGTTTTGGCTTCAACAATGGGTGAGGCTGAGGTGCAATGGGGTCCCCCTAAAGATGAGTCAAATGTGTATTCTGTTCCTAAACTAATTATGGTTTGAGATGGAAATGCCATGGTCATCATTGGTAAAATTTGTACAATAAGTGCTTGCTGTTCTTTGAGAGTATTTTATTCAGCTCTAGTAGGGAAGAAACAATGGGATGGATGAAACTCACAAGAAGAGATAAATATACGTAATGATTAGTAACTTGTGAGACATATTAGTCACAGAATAAAAGGAACACATGCGTTTTGAATGTAGATAAGAAGGATGGAGCAATCAAAAAGTGTCTTAGGAAAGGATAGAGCCACCAAGTAAATCTTAATTATAGGGAATAAGTCATGACAGCTCCTGATGGACAACATCATTAAACCTAAATAGACATCCATGGATGTCGGATTGCCAAATTTAGCAAATGAAAATATAGAACACCCAAATAGATTTGAGTTTCAGATAAACAATGCAGTGTTTTTTTCTGTTTTACTTTAAGAATGACTCATGCAATATTTGGGACATACTTCTCCTCAAAATAAAGATTGTTTATCCAAAATTTAAATATAACTTGGGGCCTGTGTTGGCAAACTTGGGCCAGTTGGGCCTGCCTTATTTGGCAAAACTATACTTGTGACACCCATTATGACCCAGTTCTGGCCTCATGCAGATAAAACCTAGAGCGGCTAAGCATCTTAGCTAGTAAGCTACAGCTGTAGCAGGTGTCAACACCCTTCCATTCTTTAACCAAGCAAGTATGACTTGTTGGTTCTTAGCACCTTCCATCTGTCAGCCTCTTGTCTCAGATCTCAACTCTGGTCCTTGTCACCACACCACCAGTAAGGTAAGCTGAGAGTTAAAAGACATATGACCATTTAAGACAGAGGATTCAGGCAGTGTATTAGTCCACTTGGGTTGCTCTAACAAAATACCACAGACTGGGTGGCTGAAACAATACACATGTATTTATCAGAGGTCTAGAGACTTAGAAGTCCAATATCAAGGTGCTAGATGATTTAGTTCCTGGTGATGACCCCCTCCCATGTTTGTAGATGGCGGCCTTCTTGCTGTGTGCTCATGTGATTTTTTTTCCTTGGTTCCTGAGCTTTGTGGTGTTTCTTCTTATAAGTATGATAATTCTATCAGATCAGGGTCCCACTTCTATGTACTCATTTAACCTCAATTACTTCTGTAGAGGTCCTAGCTCCAATTGCAGTCACTCTGGGGGTTAGGGCTTCAACATAGGAATTTGGTGGGGGACACAATTTGGCCCACAATAGACATAGTAGTATTTCAATCATATGTATACTCCATTCCAAGGGTGTTAGCTTACCCCATCTCCTTTTCCTTGATTCCTGTTGTATATTTTAAACTGGTATAATAAACGCATGTGCTTTGAGCATCTTAATTTGTTCTTCCAGGCTTTCTGTCCTGTTATACTGAATAGTTTTCTAGAAGATGAACCAACTATCATTTAAAAAGTATGTCCCAGATACTAAAGACTATTGACAGACAGAAGCTGTAGATTGTTTTTTAATGTACTATCTTGTGTTGTCTAACAGGACAAGGACTTCATAAAAGGAAAAAAAGTCACTTCCATAAATCTTTACCTGGAATGGTGATTTTCAAACATTATCCTGCATCAGAATCACTTGTTAAAACAGCTTGTTAAAACATGGATTTTAGGACCCCACCCCCAAGTTTCTCATTCAGCAGGTGTTTGGTGGGGACTGGGGTTTCGCATTTCTTACAAGTTTGCAGGTGATGCTGATGGTGTAGATTTGGGAACACACTTTAAGAACCAGAAGCCTAGGAGATATGCAAATTGAATATTGTTCATTACAATTATTTTTAACAAGATGGGATTAATAAAAGACCATGAACTATAAGTGATTCCAGGACACTAGACCTTTATTGGACCTAACATATTTTTCCTTCCAATTCTTTTTGTGTATGTGTGTGTACAGTTGCACAATGTTACATATATGTAGTCACTCACCTCTCCGGATATGTCAACATGGCACAGTCACTCTCTAATTATTATATATTTTAGTAATTTGACAGATTTATACATTATGCCATGTTCACTAAAATTGTAGCTACCATCTGTCTCATTACCTCGCTATTACAATATCACTGACTGTATTCTTTATTCTGTGCCTTTTACTTCCATGACTTAGTCATTCCATCTCTGGAAGTCTGTATCTCCTTCTCCCCTTCACCCATTTTACTCAACCTCTCAGTCCCCTCCCCTCTAGCAACCTTTGGTTTGTCCTCTGTATTTATAGGTCTGATTTTGCTTTTATTTGTTTATTCACTGTTTCTGTTTTTTAGATTCCACTTATGAATGGAATCATATGGTATTTGTCTTTCTCAGTCTGACTTACTTCAATTAGCATAATACTCTCTAGGTCCATCCATGTTGTCTCAAATGGCAAATATTATTCTTTTTATGGGTGTATAATATTCTAGTGTGTGTGTGTGTGTGTGTGTACATATGCACATATGTGTATACTTCACATTTTTCTTACCTTTGGGTAAATATTATTGGACCATATGGTATTTCTATTTTTAATTTTTTGAGGAACTTCAATACTGTTTCCATGGTGGCTGTACCAATTTATATTCCCACCAAACAGTGCATAGGTTTCCTTTTTCATATCCTTGCCAACACTTGTTATTTCTTGTCATTTTGATTTTAAGCATTCTAACTGGTATAAGATGGTATCTCATTGTTGTTTTGATTTGCATTTCCCTGATGATTAGTGATGCTGAATATATTTTAATGTTCTGTTGGCCATCTGTGTATCTTCTTTGGAAAAGTGTCTATTCAGGTCCTCTGCCCATTTTTTAATTGGATTGTTTATTTTTTTAGGCTTAAGTTGTGTAAGTTCTTTATATATTTTGGATATTAACCCCTTATTGGATATATCATTTGCAAATATCTTCTTTCATTCAGTAGGTTGTCTTTTTTGTTGTTGATTGTTACCTTTGCTGTGCAAAAGCTTTTTATTTTGACATAGTCCTAATAGTTTAGTTTTGCTTTTTTTCACCCTTGCCTCATGAGAGATATCTAGAAAAATATTGCTATGGCCCATGTCAAAGAAATTACTCCCTGTGCTCTCTTCTAGGATTTTTATGGTTTCAGATCTCATATTTAGGTCTTTAATCCATTTTGAGTTTATTTTTGTGTATAATGTAAGCAAGTGGTCCAGTTTTATTTTTTTGCATGTAGCACTATTTATTAAAAAGACAGTCTTCCCCATTGTATATTCTTGCCTCCTTTATCATAGATTAATTGACCATATAATCATGGGTTTATTTCTGGGATCTCACTCTGTTCCATTGATCTGTGTGTCTATTTTGTGCCAGTACTATACTGTTTTGATTACTACAGATTTTTAGTATATTTTAAAATCTGGTATTGTGATACCTCCAACTTTGTTCTTCTCAGGATTGCTTTGGCTATTTGGGAGGGTCTTCTGTAGTTTCATTCAAATTTTAGTATTTTTTGTTCAAGTTTTGTGAAAAGTGCTGTTGGTATTTTGATAGGGATTGCGTTGAATCTATAGATTGCTTTGGGTACTATGGACGTTTTAACAATATTAATTCTTCCAATCCATAAGCATGGAATATCTTTCCATTTGTTTGTGTTATCTTCAATTTCTTTTATCAGTGTTTTATAGTTTTCGGAGTATACAGCGTTCACTTCTTTCGTTAAGTTTATTCCTAGGTATTTTATTCTTTTTCATTCAGTTGTAAATTTTTTTTTTAATTTCTCTTTCTGCTACCAGACCTAACTTTTAACCAACTGTGGGCAAATCTGTGGACTCATTCTTTCCTATCCAGTGTGCTAATATGTATGACAACCATGAACTCCCACTTTTTAGCACTTACAGAAATTATGACTTCTTTTCCCCTCAATGGGCTACTTGATGAACTATTTCTTTGTTAGTATGTATTTCCTTCCTGGTAAATTAATAGACTTAAGTTGAAATGTTTTATCTCTGGTTGTCTTTCCTATGTGATAAATTCATGATCATTTTAGAAATCTTGTAATCTTGGAGGTTCTTCAGAGGAGCCCATTTGGATGTATATTACCAAGTAAAACCTTCTTAATATCTAGTCACTCACCTCTCCCAATATGTCAACATGGCACAGTCACTCTCCAATTATTATATATTTTAGTGTAATTATATGATTAATATTTTTGTTCTTTAAATAAACAAGGAAATAGGAGTCTGGTAGTGCTTATTTAGTCATTGATACTCATGTGTATTTTTCTGTCTTCTCCCGCTAGAAAGAACCTAATATGCACCACCCCCTTTGAAAGATGAGATGTCCAGAAGTTGAAAAGATGAATATAACTAAGATCACAGAAAAATCAAGTGGCACAGAGAAAACATAAACTTTAAAATTTGACTCTTAACAACATTTACCAGTCAGCAACAGAATTACTTTTTCTTTATCTTTTTCAAATACTCTATAAGAACAATAATTCAATTTATGTATCTCATCACTAGAGTTCATATAAATTTGGAATTCTAACCCATAATTCAATATCAAAATAATAGCTTTTATTATTTAGCATTTATAAAAAAACAATGTTTTAGAACAATGTGCCAAGCTTATTCTATGGCTTCATGGGATCCTTCATACTTCTGTCTATGACCAGATGTATTTTTATTATATTTGGAAAGTATAGCCATATGGGAATTTAATAATCTGTTTGTGCTTAAAACATTACATCCTCCTTCTAGAAAAAATGAACTCAGAAGACAAATCAACTATAATTAATAAGCAATAAGTGGAATGATGTACATTATATCAAAAGGTGATATTTGAGCAAAGTTCTATTTATTAAGGTTCCCCTTAACTGGATCTGGTAACACTACATTCTTGTGCTCGATATTTGTCTTTTAAACCAGAATTTGGGTGAGATTTAAATGTGCAATTGGGTAACAAAGTTTAGGGTTTTGTTCAATGAGTGTGTTAATTTTCCTGAGTGTTGAAATAATATCTGAAAAATATTAATAATGATGACAATGGTGATGAAGATGATAATACTAGTGTGTGTAATAATGTCCAAATCTTTCATAGCCCTCACCTAAATTGATGGTCTTTTCTTTATTGCCAGATGATTATTTTGTTTCCATTCAACTCAAAGAGCTTGGTTCTCTGATTCAGAAATTGACTTACCCATGAGCTTAGGCATACAAACTGGTCATTTTAGAGACTTTACACAGATAATCTTACTGAACATTTTCTTTGGAATTTTACTTTATCTCTTTATTTATAGAGCAACTTGACTTTGACACTTGTAGATTATTAATGAGGTGTGTAAGCTTATTTTTAGAAGAGAAGACACAAATTCACACAGATATTTTATTCTTTCAAACTGTATAATGAGCTGTTATAAGACCTGTTTTAATTCTTTGGACATGAGATAAAACTCCATCGTGAAGAAACCCATTTCCAAGGAAAGCAGGCGTTTTAATGATGTTGATTTGTTGATTCTACTTCCAGGGGCCTATTACAAACTAAATGCTTATCTCACCTATTTACATTAATCATAATCCTATCCACTTACGTACCTGAGTAAAACAAACAAGCAAATATGAGCCTGTTTTTAATTCAAGTATATAAATAAAAGACACTAAATAAATTAATAAAAAGGAGAAACCAGCCTGAGTTAGTTTGAACTCCTTTGAAGGACATTGAGTTTATATGCTTTAGGAAACCAGACTTTATTAGGTTAATCAATAAACATTTAATTCCAATTAATTAGCTTATATGTACGTATCTGCATCTCCGTGTGCATTTAAGAAAGTAGCTCCTTTTCAGTCAAGTTATTTTCAGACTTAAATTGTGCCTAATTTAAATTGAACTTCAGGGACTCCTGGGTGGCTCAGATGGTTAAGCATCTGCCTTCGGCTCAGGTCATGATCCCAGGATCCTGGGATCGAGTCCCGCATCGGGCTCCCTGCTCCTTGGGAGCCTGCTTCTCCCTCTGCCTCTCTCTCTGTCTCTCTGTCTCTCATGAATAAATAAATAAAATCTTAAAATAAATAAATAAATAAATAAATAATCTTTAAAAAAAATAAAATAAATTGAACTTCACTCCCAATGGTCTCAAATGTGTTGGATATGAGTTGAGCTCATGCTGACAGATGTGGAAATTGATCCAAGAGAAGAATGTCATTTTAAGCTCTCCCAGCATATCTACACTGTAACTTAAAAATGAATTCTCAGAATAGTAATATCTGTTAATATTTGGCCCATGGTCCTACAGTAATCCGATTTGCTTGTTTAGAAGGCAGTATGACTAATGAACTGAACAAATGATGAGAACCAGCCCTTGGAAAGTCCATATTGAAAGTAGCATGCAGCTTTGTGGATAACCATTCCTCGGGGCTCCTCTTTCGCAGACACTTACTGAACTGTGATGGGTTTAATTCAGAGCCCACCTACAGTGGAACTGGTGCTCATAAATTACTGCTGGGATTCATTTTTATTGGCTTTGAAAGTAAAATCTACAGACACTCAAGCAAAAACTCTGTAATAACAGTTATAATTAAAAAATATGGGCCAAGTTAAGTTCATCATGTATGCTATCTTGTCAAAGCAAAATAGGGACATATTGCAATGTTACCAGCCAAATTAATATTTTAGTTCAATTGATTTTACTAGTGATATATAGACATAATTCTTCAAAGTTTCCATAAAAACAGTGTAGGAAAATGAGCCTTAGTTCAAACTCAGAACAAAGACTCATTTTCCCTGAGAAAAGTTATAAAAAGAAAGATAAAGTTGTCTACAATGAAACTAACATTCGTTCATAAAGAATCTGATATTATTAGTTCTTAGGTTGATTTTTTATTCCACAAATTTGAACTGAGTGTCTGTTGTGTTCCTGACACCATTCTAGGTCATGGGGAGAAATCAGGGGAGGTTATAGAGAATCTACAACCTGGGGGGAAAGAGATCTGTGTCTGTGGCCAGGTTCCCTACATATCAGTTCTTTAGCATTAAAGGACTTATGGCTCAGTAAGAGTTACCAACACTTAAGATATCTGGAAAATGTTTAATGGAATGTATGACACATAGTAGATGCTCCCTTAATACTGATTTATTCTACTGTTGACCTTATTTTGGTGAGTTAAGTATGAATAACACATGATCTTCATCCACAAGGAGCTCATAACCTACCTATAAGAGACTTACTCCAGTTTTTTAGCTCCTTGTGGGTCAAGATCATGTATTATGGTCCAACATAATCTAAACCTACAGGAGATGATGGTGATGATGATGGTAACAAAGAAAATACCATGCCTAACATTGCATTAAATGCTTTATGTTATTTTAAGTATCTTTAAAATGGCAGAATTAAGTTTAAATTATTAAGATTATTGTCATATATAGAAATTGAATATTATAAATGTAAAATGACTTTCCCCATATCACACAGCTAGTGAATGCAGAAGGGATTAAACTCAGCTCATGTTCATAAAAGACTAATCTTTTATTAACCTTCCAGCTTAGCCCTACAAACTCTGATGTCACGTTCTCAACATCATTTATTATCTAAAATGAAAAGAAAAATATATTTTAATGTTTGTAATATTAAAATATAGTCAGTGCAAACCCAGATTGTAACTAGACATTGTCAATATTATTCACTTGTAATTTTTTTAAGAAAGACAATTTCAGGGGCATCTGAGTGGCTCAGTTGGTTAAGCTTCTGCCTTTGGCTCAGGTCAGGATCCAAGGTTCCTGGGTAGAGCCTCAGGTCTGGCTTCCTGCTCAGCGGGAGTCCTGTTTCTTTCTCTCCCTCTGGCACTCCCCCTGCCTGTGCTCTCCTGCTCCCTCTCTGTCAAATAAATAAATAAAATCTTTAAACAAAGAAAGAAATTTCATATTCAGAAATTAATATAACCTTTCTAATTTTAAATACATTTATTGCACACAACGTTGTCTTAATTGTGAGACATCTTAAAAACAACCTAAAATACACATGCATCTCTACATTGAAATAACCTAGAAATTACTGAATTCAGCCAACTAGGGGCTTTCCAGCTGTTTTTATATATAAACTAATCTGACTTTCATTTCTTTCCCACTGACTTTCTTCTCTGAGGTGAATTTTTTCATGATATTATATTGTTTTTTTCCTCCTGAGGTGCCAACAATAATATATTTTTTATACTGCAGGAGCATGCATTTCAAGTGATATCTTCTTGAAATTACTTTTGTTTTATTAATTTAACAAATTTAGAGACTATTAGTAACCTAAAATATTTTAAATAATATATGTACATAATTTCTCTATATAATGCTTGTTATCAATATCATATAGCTTTTTCCTGTATAGAGATATTGCATACTGTTATAAGATTGTCTGTATAAGAACTCCCAGTGGTTTATTGCTGTGAGAAATAAGTGTGGCAAAAAATAAGTGAAATACACTGATAATCCTGGGGGGAATATATATATATATATATATATATGTGTGTGTGTGTGTGTGTATATATATAAATTTTTAGGGAGTTTTATAATAATAGAAATAAGAAATAAAGTGGACATGAATAGCACAGTGGATGTGGAATTGAAAGAGTGTACAAATTGAGAAACATTGTGGACTTTACTAAATTTTTAGAAATGGTTGGACATCCGTGTAAGGAAGGAGATTAAAATTATTTTTGAATTTTGAACTGACTTGGGACATTATGAAATCATTCCAACACAAAAACAAAAAGAACCTTAGAGTTCATCTAGTTCTGGGATTTGGCTGTTGACTGAGCTAAGGTTTCCAATTTGTCAAAAAAAAAAAAGAAAGAAAGAGAGAGAGAATCAGGATATTGGAGTGAGAACCCCAAGCTGCCAAACGTTCAGTCAAGTGTGCTTTAAGGTATTTTTTATTCATAAACAAAAATGGGACAAGGGGCACTTGGATGGCTCAGTCAGTTGAGCGTCTGACTCTTGATTTCAGCTCAGGTCATGATCTCGGGGTAGTGGGATTGAGCCCCGTGTCAGGCTCCACACTGAGTGGGGAATCTGCTTGGAATTCTCTCTTCCTCTCCCTGTGCCCCTTCCACCTCCCATCTCAACATAAATAAATAAATCTTTAAAAAAATGGGACAATCAGGGACACCTGGGTGGCACAGTTGGTTAAGTGGCAGACTTGATTTCAGCTCAGGTCATGATCTCGGGGTTCTGGGACCCAGCCTCATGTTAGACTCTGGGCTCAGCGGGGCATCTGCTTGAAGATTTTCTCTTTCTCTCTCTCCCTCTGCCCCTCCCCTCACTCAGAGTTTCTCTCTCTCTCTCTAATAAATAAATAAATCTCTTAAAAAATGGGACCGTCAGCAGGTAGAGTGAGAATGTGTGTGTGTGTGTGTGGTGGGAGCTGCAGGTCATGATTTTTATTTGAATCA